CATGAACCAACTTCTTGGGAGATAAATACTCTGCTCAGAAAAATTATTGGAACATGTCTTTATCTCGAGATTCAGAATGAATTCTTTTTTTAGGGATGACACCCCATTCCTGAGGGCCCGCCAACACCGACCGGACGGCACAATGAGAGGATGTAAATTGGACTATAATCACAATCTGACAGATAGAGAGTGAGACTCTGTCCCCAGTACTTGCAGAAGCCCTATGCATTTTTCAGCATAGTAACCCCTCATCGTAGTTGCCGGGATTCGAACCCGAGACCTAACCCTTGTGGCACTCCCTCGCTACCAGTTGAGCTACGCCCACCGGTGAATTCTTTTTTCCAATCACCCTACATGGCTACATCTTATTTCCTCCGACTTTAATTTGCCAACCTTTTTTTGTAGTTGCATACAATAATTTACAAATTTGGTCACCTTCGTCCTAGTCACCTTAGAACACTAAATTTATCAAATTAGTTATGCGATAATCTTAATACTTGTGATTCTATTCTAGACCTGCACAAAACCGGGCCGGCCCGCCCAGCCCGCCCAGCCCGCCCGCACAAATGGGCGGGCTTGGGCACATATATTTACCCACCGGGCCGGGCCGGGCCCGGCCCGCAATAACTTATGGGCGGGCTTGGGTTAGGGTGTAGGCCCGTTCGGGCCGATAAGCCCGGCCCGCTACATTTAATATATATATATATATAATTTATTTATTTACATGTACATTTATATTTTCTAATATAATTTATCTTTATACATATTTATAGTTTATTATGTTTAAATTTAGGTTTTTAGATCTGAACCACTAGCCCAACTAATATAGTATCTATTTTTGTACTTAAAGATAATACTTTGTGCTTGAATTTTAAATTTTAGATATAGTTTCTCATTATTATTTTTGTGTAAGTATTATTTTTGTATGTGGTGAAAGACCTATAAACATTACATGCATATTAACACTTTTTTAAATGTTGTAATATTAGTTTTAAATTATTAAAAGAAATTCAAAAAATATAAAGGTTTTCCGGGCCCGGAGGCCCGGTGGACTACCCGGCCCGCTCTTATGGGCGGGTATGGACATGGGGTTAGGCCCGTTTTTGCGGGCCGGGCCGGGCCCGCCCACATATGATGGGCAAAAAAATTATAAAAAGCCCGGCCCGAGCCCGGCCCGAACCCGTTTTTGTGCAGGTCTATTCTATTCATATCTTTCTTCTCGATAGAAATCTAAATCACACAACTTTTACTTTTCTTCTTTATCACCTAATTCATAATTGATAATGTCTAATAGGACGAGTAATATTATACCTTAGGCATTACATTGTATTTTATTAGACCCAATACGCGGTTAAATTAATAGTACATATTACTCCATATAAAATTACAACATTGCAAACAACATTATAGTTCTTTTTAAGCTATGGCATTATGTAACAAACTTTCATCATATTTGTATTCATTTTTATAATTCAATTAAATTTTAATACAGTTTCCAAATGCTTTAGTCTATAGCTTTTCATAATCTAAAAGTAAAACAGTAGGGATGATAAAGAAAATGTAAAAACGGAAACAACTATAGTCTATAGATAGATGAAAAAGCAGAATAGGTTTGCAAGAATGAAAAGATGCGGAGTAAAACTTGACGACACATTTTTTATGAACATTTACCAAAATAAATACTTTAAATATTTCTAAAAAAGTGATTAATCGTAATATACCATTTATGCCCTGTAAATAATATTATACCGAGTGTTATTAAAATTAATGCATTTTTGGAGGACAAAAGTCTTTGCATTTTAGCTTTTATAGCATTTAAAAAGTATTTAAAAGTTTTTAAGTGTATATTTGACACAATAAATATTGGGAGCTTCTTTAATCTTTTTTAGAAACTACACTAGGTACCTTTTTAGAGAAACTCTCTAATTTTTGGCATGACTATTCATAAAAATTACTACTTGTTATATCAAGCGAAACTAAATTAAATGTTATCAATTACACTAGGTAACATTTTTCTTTTAGTTTTTTTTTTCAATCACTAAAAACTCATATATGCTAAAAAGATCACAAAAGTATATTTTTTGTTACTTCTGTCAAACATACATTTAAAAATCAATCAATGCCACCCTACCAGCCATTATCGCCGCCTCTGCCGATACTGATTATGAAATCATTAATTTAAATTTCGTAGTGACTACACAATTGTTTAGAACATTAGTGACTACGCCGATATTTATTTTCACATTCCGTTGATATTTAATGGGGGCACAGGTCACTCAGAATTGGACATTGTGGTGTAGTCGGTTTGACGAATCTGACGTATCTTGGATTCCAGGTTGACCTTTTAGGAGGAGTAGCCCAAAGTCTTAAATCTTGACGTCTCTCTAATCATTTAAATCTTTAGGCCCTGTTTACTAATAGAGATATTTTTCAGTGTTCTAGAAAACTGGAAAACTGGAAAAAGGAAAATGGAAAACATGTTTACCAAAGAAAATTGCTGAAAAACTGGAGAAAGGTAAACAGAGAAATGCGTTTACCAATCGTTTTTCAAAACAAAAAATGAGATATGTCTATGTTTGCCTTAATGAATTGGAGAAGTGACTTTTACTAGTTTTCCAAATTTGAAAAACGCGGATGTTGTAGTGTCACTGCAATGAATTAGCATACTTATGCCTAATGATGGATACGGTCCCGCTTCGGTGTTAGTTGTAGTCCTGTCCGGCTAATGACTCCACGGTCCCTATATGGTCCGACCCATGACCCGGCGGTCCGGACCGCTATTAACCCGGCGGTCCGTGTCAGTCTGGTCGATGACCGAGCAATCCCGATCCGGTCCGTTCGAAGAGCCGACAATCCTAGTCTGATCCGGTCGACAATCCGGTGGTCCCTGTCCCGTCGAGTCCATGACCCGGCGGCCCATATCTGGTCCGATCCACGACCCAATGGTCCATTTCTGATCCGATCGATGACCCGACGATCCTGATCCGGTCGACTTCTCAATGATCCCAGTCTGGTCTGGTCCATGACTCGACGGTCCCTGTTCGGCCTGATTGATGACCCGACGATCCCCGTTCGGTCCAATCAACGACCACGTGGTACCTGTTCGGTCCGATCAACGACTGAACAATTCCGGTTCGATATGGTGTGGTCAATGACTCAACAGCCCCCGTCTGGTCTGGTCAAATACTCGGCGGTTTCCGTCATATCCGGTCAACCACCCAGCAGTCTCGTCTTATCCGATCAATGACTCGGTGAATCCTATCTTGTTCGGTCAATGACCTAGCAGTCTGTGTTCGGTCCGATTGACAACCGGGCGGTCTCGGGTCAGTCCCGTCAATGACCCGACGGTCCCTGTCTGTGCCGGTCAATGATCGGTGGTTCATTCTTAGTTTTTTGAAATCATATTTAAACCGAAGAGTTTTAAAGAGCCGTTGAATTGTCAACCAATAGGGAAATGAGTAAAGAATTTATCAAACTAACCGTTGAGATCGATCGGGACCAACTGGTTTCGTTCCCGACATTCCTATATGTGGGACCTGGTATTTTACTAGGGTTGTACTGTATTCGGTTCCGGACTGGTACCATACTTTCCGTTTTCTGGCCAGTCACGGAACCGTGTGCAAAAGCTTGATGAACATGTTTTCAAATTTGAAAATGGAAAACTAAAAAATGAAAACAGAAAATTGGAGATAGAAAAACAGGAAAATGAAAATAAAAAATTCGAGAACGGAAAACAAAAATAAAAAACTAGAAAATATCTCTGTTAGTAAACAAGCCTTACATTTAGTAGTTACCCCTAAATTTAAATGTGATGCCATTTGATGGGAGCTGTTAGACCATTTGTAGTGGTCAAGAGTCTAAAATGTTAAATATGGACTCCGTCCATATGAAAACAGTGTTTAGACTCCTATTTTCCTGCATCCTATTACCGTCAATAAAGTACACTCATCATATTTTTTTACATATCGATTTAGTAAAATATCAATTAAATTATCATACGTAATTTTTTTTTGTTTAATTTTTCCCCCTAAATGATTATGAAATAAAAATACACATTTTGATGTAAGAAAAAATAAATTTCATTAAGAAAATTGTTAATATTATTTGTTAATTTTTTAGTTTTAATAAAGAATAAAATGATTTCATGTAATACTTAGTTATTTATTGAGATTCCATGGATTAAAAATTTGTGTTTCGTATTTTCTTGAAATCAAGAAAACTCCAACAATTAAAATTTGAAAATTGTTTTATACTTTATACATGTAATATTGGTGTCATTGGAAATGTTATAAAAAGTTAGGAATTTTGATATATTGTTTGAAAAATTTGGAGTAAAAATAAAAAAGTTATAACAATTTTTAAAAAATTGGGGTGTTATGACAAAAGCATGACATCATGTGTATCAAGAGAAAACCAACGACCGGTCCTTTGTTTCCCTTTTTCTTTCCTTCTTTCCTTTACCCACTCTGTCAACCCGCCCCTCTAAAAATACACTCCTCCATCCCTTTTCCCATTTTTAACCCTCTTTTAACACACAATTACACTAAATTAGGAGTCTAAAATTTTCAACTTTAGCATTTTGGACTCCTAATCCTACACCACTAAAGGAGTGTTTGCAGTTGATTAAAAAAAACACTTTTCAGCTTTTGGTTTAAAAAAAGTTAAAAAGAGTGTTTTCAAATGACAGCTTCTGCTTAAATTAATCACTTAAAAGCTAAAAGCTGAAAGCAGGTGGAAGGGTGCTTTAAACTGCTTTTCACTTTTTTCTATTACACAAAAAGTACTTATTTTACCAAACACTACAAACTTTTACTTTTTCAGAATCACTTTTTTCTCAAATACTACTAACTTTTACTATTAATTACTTTTCCCCAAATCACTTTAAAAAATCACTTTTTTAAAGTTGAAGCAATTGGAAACACTCCCTACAAATGGTCTTAAGGATGAATTCGAAAACTCAATAAAATAGCGGGGGCAGAAATGGGAGGCACCAAAATATATTCGAGTACCCCAATTACCCTCTCCGCCTTCTTGGTCAGTTCCATCGCATTCTGCCATAAGGCTACCACTTTGGATTCCACAGCCCTAATTTGTGAACAATTCCAAATCACAAACCTTGAAAGCCATTTTTCTTCGGAATTAATATTGAAGATAAGAAAGAAAAAATGGGGAAAAATCAAGCTTACAAAGCCATGCAAAGAGCGCGGGTTGGCTCTAGCTCGGGCGGACCTGAAGAGGTCGAAGATGGCATGGTTCGTACCCTTTCATACTACTTTTCTGCTTTTTGGTACATTATGTTTTTCTTCTATATTGAGTGCAATTTGGACTTGTTAATTGTGTAGTTCATTGTATGCTGGAGATCCGAAAGAAATAAACGAGCACTGAAGTTTAAATTGTCACTCCGTAGCATACTCACAGTCTTTCTGTTTTGTTTTCTTATTGGTTATCATCAAGTGATTCTAGAGTAGCGGTTATGCAGATAAGCTGCTCTCTAGTAATGCATAAGTTTTTTATAAAATCAGTTATGCACATACCATTTCCTTTACTTCTTGAAATCATTATGCAGTCAAATGAGATTTCCTATTTTAGCACTGTACTTGAAAAACTAACATTACATATTTGTAGCAATCCTAAAAATAGTGGCATTTTATCTTCTCTAAAAAATCACATGTTAGTTTGCATTATATGGTTTTGCAAAACAGTTTCATTAGTATTTATTTAAGAAATGGCTCCACTGCGATAGTCGAGATTGTCTTTTCTGTGCTTCGTCTGATGAAGGCAGTCTCAGGTGGATGGTTCATTTCATACACCAGAGTGGCATGCTGCTCGTCTAGCAAGTCTCAAAACTTCTCACACCGTTACCTGGGAAGAATTCAAAAGGAAGCAAAAGGTAGATTGTTGGTTTACTGTTAGTTCAACAATTCAACATGAAAACTTGCATCTTTATCAGGTCTTATATTGATGCTACAACAAAATAGATTGCTATTACATGTAGTAAAGTAATACATGATTAAATGAACTGTGAAGTAGTTTATCAACAATTGGTTAGCATCTGTTCTTTTCTTCTTTTTATGTGATTGCTAGAATCAAATAGAAGGTAACTACCCCTCCACCCCCCCAAAAATTCATGTTTCAACTTTCAAAAGTTTTTCTTATATCCCAATAAGTGAGTCCTGTTTGATCATATGCTGCTGATTTTTCATCTAATTTGTCAAAAATAGTTACAGACATGTTTAAAATCATAAATTTAGTTAAACCAACAATTAAAGATTTAGACATAAGTGTTTCTTTCCAGATTACTTATGATGCGATTCTGCTAGGAAGAAGAAATCAAGAAGGGAGAGATAGAAGCTGATAAAGACAAGATGATGAAGGAATACAGGGCTCAATTGGATGCTGAGAGGGCCATGAAGCTTGCTAAAGGAAGCAACCACTCAAAGAGCAAACATAGTCACAAGAAAGGTAGTGTGGTGGTATTCCGTACTGGAAGAGATAGTCTTGTGTCATAATCAATTGTTATTAGTAATAAATATGCTCATGCAGAAAAGAAGGATAAAGGCTCAAAGAAACACCGGAGCAATAAGAGAAAGGTGAAAGTCATTCTCTTTATCAGTTATTATTCTCTTTTCGGGTGTAAATACTTAATGAGCCTCTCATTCGAAATAAATATGGAGTAAGATGCTTGAACTCTGTCTAGAAACAGATGTATATATCCAAGTTGCGGGTATTTCTTTGATACGTATTATGACAAACAATTTTGGGACAATTAGCCCTAAAACTACATTGCCTATTTAGTCTTGGGTTTTATCAATGTTTCACCTTACCTTTCTTATTGTCTTTCAAAAGCTTGAGTAACCAGCATTTTTTATGTAATATGAATTTTTGACCAGGATTGATCTCTTTTGTTTTTTTTACTCTGATTTCATAGGTTGATTCTTGTAAGCCGACCCAAACTTTTTTGGGACCAAGTCTTGGATGTTGTTGTTGTATGAATTATTTGACCATGTTAAGTTAGTATACTAGAAGAGAGGAGGCACAAGTGGCAAAGCCAAGCAGTAACAAAGTTTCTTCTTGAAAGCATATAAAACATTCCAATTTTTAAAATTTTGCACTTAAAAGAGATGATACTGCAGATGTTAAAAGCTATGCATCACTCATCACTGTTTAGAATGTGTCACTTTGGGATAAACATGGGTCACTAGTTCTTTTTCTGGTATATTCTCACTTGTTTTTTCCCAGCACGATGCCACATAATATGGAAGATTTAAACTTTGCTTTGTGTATTTCAACTTAGTGGTCGTTTGGTTGTCACTTTTCCATCTATCAGCCTTACCTGTCTACCTGGCATTTTTTTTACCAAGCACTCAGTATTGACTAGCCGAATTGGTTAATAATGAAAATAGGAGCAGGACTTGATTTTTATTTACTGAAGTTGGTGAAGTTGATCGCTTTAGCATTGTCTATATAGTGTTTAATATTCTTTTCCAATGTACTAAAAAGTTAGTTTTTCATTGTATCAGTACATTAAATTTGAATATTTCTTCATGATTCTGCAATTTTAGCAGCTTTATCAATATCACCAACAATTTCAGTATTTTGATATTTTCATCCAAATTCACTCATATTGACGAGCTTGTGCTTTAACCCTGGCATTAATGTTCATTTCTGTTGTAATCTTATGTATCATGGCTATCTACTCGTCATTGTCTCTTGATATCTTCAATTTGTAGAAGTTATGATTATTTGAACTTTAAAGTTCCATCTTTCCTTCCGCAGAAGGTTGAGACCACAATGTTTTTTTTGTCGCATGAACTTATAATGTTAACTACTCCCTCCGTACCATTGGATTTTGTTAGCATTCCTTTTTTGTTTGTCCCAAAAGCTTTACCACTTTCCATGTAAAGTAAATAATTTTTGGTTGCTTATTTCTCTCTCATTTGCCCAACTTTCAATCACACAATTTTTACTTTTCTTATTTCACACCTAATATAAACTTGGGAATGTGACTGTTTTTTGCATGACACTAGATTTCATGCTATCCATCCCAACATGGTTAGGATTAAGGTGTTGATGTTCTCTTATTGATGTGAAATATGACTGTTATTGATTATCAGATTTTCAGGTTTCATAATCTTGCCTAACATTTTCTCCCTAACTCAGAGATCATCAGAGCACAGATCTTCAAGTTCTTCATCAGAATCATCAGGTTCAAGCAGCGATGAAGAAGAAGAAAGAGAATCAAGAAGAAGCAAATCAAAGTCGAAGCGAAAGAAGAAAGATAAGAAACATCGGTCAAGATCAAGACATGGAGGCAGTGAAGAGGCAGAAGGGCCGCTGCCACTGTCTAAATTCTTCGGAAGTATCAAAAGCTGATGATACTTTCCCATGGAAGATGGAACTCATCTTTAGCTTCTTCTGCAAAACTATTTGATCTAATCACATGTCTGGGCTTTAGATTGATCTTCTGTACACTTATAATATGTTGTGTTTACCATTTCTACCCCATGTGTTTTTAAAATTCTCAAACTTTTACAGGAGCAGGCACATAGGACATTCATTATCTCTTTCTGCAATGTAAACATTGTGTAGTAAATGTTGTTCCATATTTTCCTGGATCTTAAAACTTTTCCATGATATAAACAATCTTAGAATCTGATACAATTCAGGCAGTCTAAAGATGAATGTAGAAGTAGACGATGAGAATTGATATCTGAGAATTATGAGAGTTCAAGATAGAAATAATTGATATCAATGTTTATTTCATTCATAGTCTGGGCATTCATGGACCTGGGCCGGGTCTTGGCCCGGGCCGGGTCTTGGCCCGGGCCGGGTCTTGGCCCGGGCCGGGCCAAGGCCCGGTCGGGCCTTGGGTTTATTAGAGGTAGGCTTGGGACTGGCCTGTGCTATGGCTGGTGCCGGTTCGGGCCGGGTCACCCGCCCGAGTCACGGGTCGGGCCACCGGGCCGGGCCGGGTCATATTTATTTATTTATTTTAGTTATAGTTTATACAAATTCTTATTAAAAACAAAGTTCAAGTGCATTTATTTGAAATATGAACTACATTTGAGAATTGAGAAAAAAATAACAATATGAAATACATTTTCTAATAAATATCAATTGGATTTCCGTCACCGTTGGTTATTGTTTTGCCTTTGTCACAAGACTTCATATGTTTTATTGACATCCCGTATCCGTGTGAACATCCCAAGTTACAGTCTTTCTTGCACCACTTGCAAGTTGCCCACCACAGTCCGGTCTTCGGGTCCTTCTACTTATCAAAATTGTTTTGCATAAGGGAAGATTTACTTTCCATCTTTAAAATGGTAGATGTATAAGTAGGAATGTAGGATAATAAGAGAAGATGAAGATGGAGAAGAGTTGGAGAAGAGGTGTAGAAAAATGTTAGAAAATAGATATATTTATAGAATTTTTTGAACCCCACTCCCCACACCACCACCCCGGGACCCCCCTGCCCCCCACCCAAAGCCCCAACGGCTATATAGCCGTTTGGGAGCTATTTTTTCTTTAAATTTTTTTAAATATTTTTTTATTTGAAAATTATACTAAAATAAGTTAATTAATTTAATGAATTAAGTAAAGCTATTTTTACTTAGAAATGTGGTTTGATTTATAATTTACAAATGTTACAAAATAGGTGTATAAGTATTTAAACAAATTACATATTGTAAAACTATTTTTAATTTAAAAACAGCCTTTAGAAAAATAATTTTAAGTTGTAAGTTTGTAACCAATTAATTAATTTGAGAAGTGCTGCATATGAAAAACTGAACGCATATTTATTTGAAATATGAAGTACAACTTTACAAATTACAATTAAGAATTGAGGGAAATATTAAAACATGAAATACATTTTATAATAAATTCTAAAATACTAATGAATCGGAATCTCCGGCATAGGTAGAACCACCATCAGTTGTTGAGTCATCCATAAAGTCTTGGGAGGGGGTGATGCTCATTTCTTGAGTTCTACGTGCGACCTTCAACCAATCGTGGTAGCATATAAGCGTCTCAAGAGACTCTGCGCCCAATCTCGTTCTAGATGCCGTTAGGACGTTGCCGGCCGAACTAAATTCTTGTTCCACAGCAACTGTTGAAACTGGCATTGATAGCACTTGCTTAGCCATCCGAGCTAAAATCGGGAACGTTCTTTCTTTTGACTTCCACCAGTTTAGAACGTCAAAGTCATCATTTTCTTCAAATTCAACTTCATATGTTAAATACAAAGTAATCTCATTTACTGCGCTTTGTTGAGTAACGTGAGTTGTTTTAGTTTTTTCATAAGATTGCCAAATGTAGATTTAAAAATTGATTTTCCTGTAGATGAAGATGTTCGTATCGGGGGAGGGGGCGCGTTGCCATATTATGCACGAAACTCATTAATTAAGGCATAAAATAAAGCACTAACCTCGTTGTACTCCGTTTTCGGATCTATGAGGTTATCGTCATACATTGGAAATTCACAAAAAAACAAGATAATAGAAGTTGAAACAATCTTCCAAATTAGCTAGTCTAAAACGAGGATCGGGAATAAATGCAATACCATAAATATGCGGAATATGTGCATAATATTTTAAAAACTTTTCCCTCATAAAATCACAAAAATAACTCACGTAAACGGCATTCTCAAATTCTCTAAAAGCACCGGCGAGATTAACAGCTTCACGAATAAATTGGTTTGCGGTAGGTTTATAAACATGACTAAAAGTTTCAGTTGCATTAAAAAAAATATCAAAACATTACAATTTTTTTCGCAAGTGTCAATCTCAGCCGAGTTTATAATATAGTTATCATGTTGTTTTAAAAAGCAAGAAAATGTTCTTTAAATCTAAAAACAACTTTAAGTAATTTATAAGTACTATTACAACGAATACTCAAATCTTTAGGAAAAGCAACATATCTCCCACCTCTTTCAGTCAAATAAGTTTGTCATTTTAATCTAAGTTGACCATTATCCCAAATACGTCTACCCCCCCCCCCCCCCCCCGACTACCTCCATAGCATCTCCTAATGCTTTTAGACCGTCTTGCACACATAAATTTATAACATGACATGCACAACGTTGATGAAAAAATCTATCCATCAAAGTATTGGCACCACACAATTCACACAATCTAGGTATAGCAACAGTATTATTAGTAGCATTATCGAAACCAATAGCAAACACCTTATCAATCAAATTATACTCAATTAAAATACGCTCAATCAAAATATAAATATGTTCAGCGGTGTGACAATCATTAAATTCACGAAAAGCATGAACACGTTTATGCATATTCCAATCCTCATCAATATAATGTGCAGTCAAACCCAAATAATTTAAATGATAAAAATCATCCTCCCATATGTCAGAACAAATAGTAACATGTCCATCAAAGTTTGCAAAAAAATTTGTAACCTTGCCTCTTCCGCTTTATAAAGCCTTATAATTTCTTTGTTAACAGTTTTGCGACTATAACCTCTAAATTGAGGATTTAAACTACCGCATGCATAATCTCTTAAAGCAAGACTTTCAGAAAACATATAAGGCAAATTTTCTTCACAAATTAAGTTAGCCATACCAGCCAAATTTTGTGCATCATTGTATGAGAAATTACCAAAAGGTTGAGAATTCGCAAACCTCGATATTTGAGTTTGCTTCCCCGTTCCGCCGCCTAATTTTGCATACTCCACGAGGTGCTTTGCCTTAAGATGCCTTGCGGCGGATCCGTATCTGCTGGAGGTCCCCAAACTATAATTTTTGTTGCACCACTTGCAAGTTGTGTGCCAATACCCGGTTTGTGCGTCCTTCCACTCATCAAAATTATTTTTCATTAGTTCAGATTTACTTTTTTTTATTACCGGTGGCGGTTTGGGATGAGACAGGCTCGTCGGCGTCGTGGCTGCCGCCACCTTCCTCCTCGGCCGTCTTCGGTTCCATTTCCTCCGCATCTTCATCCTCAAGCTCATCTTCATCAATGGTCTTCGGGATTTGTTGTTGTTGGAGAAAGCAGTTATTATGTCGGACCAATTCTTGTTGTAGTTGTTATTCGGACATCACATCTCCATCCCTCCTTTGGTAACCCGTTTCAAAATCATCTCGGCTTTGAGATGAAGAGCCGGCAAGTTCTTTACCTTTGCGGGATTTCTTCCTCCCAATCTCGTTCCTTCGGTTGCGCTCGAGGTTACCCAAATCAACCGAATATCTACCACCTTCCATCTTAAAAATGTCACAAATATTAATTTGCAACAAATATAATAATGAATACAAAAGTAATGCAACTAATTAAAACTATTTTAATTAATACTTCAAACTAATTTAGTGAAAACTACTTTAATAAAATGTGAAGTACTTTAATTAAGTAGTGAATAAAAGTGGGACTCTAAAATACAAATTAAAATTCGAACTAATCAATAGTATTTTTTAATAAATACTTAAAACTAACAAGTGTGACTTTAACTAAAATGTGAGTAATTAAATTATAGCAACTTTTCAAGTACTAATTTAGTGAAAACTACTTTAATAAACTGTTAAGTACTTTAATAAAATGATTGAACTACTCTTTTTTCGTTCAAATATAAATTCAAACTATTATAATGTGACTTTAACTATAATGACAATTAACTAGTTTTTTAAAGTAGAGTTGTTTTAGCAATTAATGGGAATACTAATTAACTAATTAACTAGTATAATGAAAAATGTAACAATTAGTGGGATACTAATTAACTAATCAAGTAATGTTAATACAAAATGTAAATAATAAGACAAATGTATGAATGTGTATAGTAATTAATGGGAGTAGATGAGTAATAGAATGATTTTAAGTAATATTAATTAAAGTGTAACTAATATATAATATATTGTTTATATTATATAATACATAAGTATACTACTATAACATGAGTAATACACTTATATTTAATACTTTAATATATAAAGTATATATTAAGTAGATGTGGTATGTAATTATGTATGTATGTATTAAGTAAACAATAAGTAGAGATTAAGTAGATAAGAAATATAAGTAATATAGTATATGTATTTATAAGTAGATAATTAATATATAAGTAGATATAATAATATTATAAGTATTAAATAGTAAAATAAAATATAATGGAGAATAAGAAAATTTGAGAAGATGAATATGGAGATGAGTAGAGAGTAGGATTTAGGGAGAATTGGAGAAGAGGTATGAAAAAATGTTTAAAATTAGGAGTATTTATAGGTTTTTTTAACCCCCACCCCCCCAAAAGCCCCAGACCCCCCCCATACCCACCCAACGGCTATATAGCCGTTTGGGGAATGGGTCAAGACCCAAACGGCTCTTTACTAATTGAAAGGAAAATAAAAATAAAAATAAGGCCGTTAGGCCCGGACCGGGTTGACATGAGATATGTGAGAAGATGTTTAAAAAACACTGTTTGAATTACTTTGTTATTGGTTGAATGGAGAGGTGAAAACAGTGAAACTGATTTAGTGTATCTCACTCCTAACAGGTAGACATGCAACGCTTCATCTATAAAAGCAACTGTGAGGCATGAAGCTTCTCACTTTCATTCGGATATCAAACTGTAATAGCATAAGAAAAAATATATTTCTTTCAAAATGGTTAGAATTTGATCTTTGACTTGATCAAAGCAGGACCGCTTGATGGCGATGATGGCTTCCTACCATGATGGTCAGGGC